ATTTGAAAACTTCTTTCATTTCCACAAATAAAACTGCATTTGACAGTTAATAATTAACACTATTGATAAATACACATATACTTCTAAACAAGAGGCTGAAGAGAAAGATTAAATCTATGATTCCCAAGCTGTTGTCTGCAATTGACTTGCGGAGCTGTATAAAGCATTAGCAATTATGAGCTACCCATCTATACCTAATGGCTGTCTGTGAGAAAAACTGACATTTGAAACTCTTTGAATGTTAAAGATTAGCTAATTGAGCGAATAAAGTTAACTATATAAGAACTTGCTGAAATGATCTGTCACTCACTGACAGCTATCATTGGGAGCTTAAGAGGATTTCTGTGATCCCAGAAATCTGGGAGAGTTAGCACTTGACTCACCTGTTGCTACAGAGATGTCAGTCAGCCTATGCTGGTGCAGAACAACCACATTTAATTTTGAATCAGCTTTTGGGCACCAAAGGGGTAATAAGGTGATCATTTACCTTTTTTTTTTTTTTTGATAGGATAACTTGCAGAGGATCAGCTGGAAGCAACAGATGCATCTCTGGTAATAATATTGATATAGTGATGTATGTCCTTCTTGGAGCATATCAGGATTCACTAGATTATACTTCACTAATAATGTTACCACACTAGAGGTCAGGAAACCTGTTCCTAAAAAGAAATTGACAAGTTGCAGTGGCTGTTTCAAATGGTGATGCCATAAAGACCCGACTCAATTCAGTACCTCCTTTACTACTTCTGGTACTTGCTTAGAAACTGAAATAAAGAACATACTTAAGAGCTCTGTGGCTAATGGCAAAAATCAGGATTCATGTCTTAATAATGTTGATAGACTGGGAAAGCGGTCCAATACCTAGTAAAGACAAGTACGAAACATCAGATGAGAAAGAGAAATCAGACATACTGGAAGTGTATAAAGTGACCAAGTCAAAACGAGAGGCTATTGCAAGCAGAACTGTTGCTCTAAGGGGTGGTTGCAAAACATCCAAGACTAGTTCTTCTGTTCTTAGTGCTGGTTATGAGTTAAGAGTGTGTGCGTATTTTGTGCAACCAAAACAGAGAGAATGCAGCCCACCTAGAGAGCGAAAAAGGAAGGGGAGATTTAGAAAGTAAGATTTATAAAAGAAGCTGAAGGAATGAGTTCATACAGATTACAGAACAGAAGACTAAGGACTGGGCAAGAGGGAGGGGAACAGAAGGGGTCTTCTAATACATAAAAGGCAACTGCCTTTTAGAAGAATGAACAGAAGAAGAAAGAACATGTGTTACCTTCTCTATCCACAGAGAAGAAATTAGCTTAAACAACAACAACAAAAAAAGGCTTACATTACAGCCCATATGATTTAGGCCACAGAGTAGGAAAAAAGTTTCCAAGTAAAAGTTACCTTGGAAAGCTCTGCCTATCGCTTCTATGGTTTTAAGCACAGAGTAGACATACGTGTCTGGAATGGTTTAACTGTGCTTACCTTGCCACAGAGCGCAGGACTGCATTAAATGTCCTGTTGGGAACCTTTCAGCACCGTGTTTCTGAGCTTGTTGCGCAACTGTTGAGAAGCATTTTTTTTCCTTAAGGAAAATTAGTAGGGAGGACAAAACTGAAAGCTTGCTATGAAGTCTTTTAAAGACTTTTTGCCTTGATTGGTTACTACAGCCGTATGCATAAAAAGAGAATAATTATTCTCTGGGAAACCTAACCTGACCTGCTGTTTATAAGTAACACCAACTTTCCTACTTGTTTCACTCAGAATGAATGACAGCATTCCCTCTGTCTTTAGTACAGTCAGATGGCAGTCTTGGGTCTTCTCTTTGCCTGCATTTGTGTGCGTGCACGTGTGTGTGTATATACATCTGTGAGGTATTCCTCACCTGCTGTATAGATGTTTAAAAATATAGGCAAGAAAATCATACTAGGCCTCAAAACCACTGTCCCCTTTTAAAAGAGACTTACTATTTGTCTGAAAAGGGCTACAGCAGAATAAGCTTAGTTTTCAAAACTGGATTTTGTCTTTGTTAAGAGTAAATGCATTAACTCGATTCATGCTTTGGCAGTAATTCTGATCATGACTATGCCTTCTTGTAAGTACATATTTGATGCTTCAAGGAGTTGCAAACTCCTTGAGTGAAGGCAGCAGGAGCCTACAAGGAAAGACTGAAGTAACAGATGGTAGATCACGTGTACTTTGTGTAAGAGATATCTGCAGCTATTGTAACACAGAATAAAGTCAAAGGACACCACAAACTTTGCTACTTCATTTGGCTTTTGTTTTTAAGGTTAATAAAGAACACATCAGACAGCAGTAGTTAAATAAATAAGCTGCATTATCTGTACAAAAACTATATAAATACAGTTGTTGGTTTGTTTTTTTAGGGAAGGAAAGCCTCCTCCTGTATAACATTCAGTAATCCTTATGTTTCTGAGATGCTGCCAAGTCACAAATCACAGGACAAACACGTGAAATTACATTCATACTGTGCAAAGGCTACACAGTGGCCTCTCTGGATCTGGTCCCTCATGTTTATCCTAGGCACAGTTAAACAGCTAATAATTCAACATGTGATCATCTGATTATATTTTGCTATTAAACAAATATAAGTAATTCCCCATACTCCTTTTTGTTAACTACAGTACTAGAAATATCCACCACATTATTATTATTATTATTAACAAATTTGTCCTTCATTCCATGCATAACTATCATTTCACAAGTTAAAAACACTGTTCCTCCCTCCCTCATGTCATCGTTTACAAAGCACTCCGTATACAGTGAAGCAGATCCCCAGTTAAATGCAAGTGCTATTAAAAATAAGAGAAATACACTATTGCCATTGATTTTAGAGGAACAGAACTCTGAGGAGATTAAAAAAAAACCCAAAATATTTTTATCCGGACAGCATGATGTACACTTATTAATATTGCACTTTTTATACAAGAAATCCTAATAAATATACACAAAAGATATACATTTACATACATAGAAAGACATTCTTTTTTTAAATAAAAACTTACATTGATGCTTAGCAACACTAATTCTTAAAGACCCGCTTGTAGTGAGAGTGTTCATTGCCAGATGTGTTTTGGAATAGGCAAATTAGAGGCAGTTTAATATCATGAACCCGACACTGACCTCAAAAGAGGACTTTCAGGTTTGCTGAGAAATTCATGACGTGGAAGTTGTAACACAGCAACATCTTAACGTTGTTTTACTAACGTACCACAAGGGCTGAGTCTGCTGGGAGTGACAGGAGATGCGCAGCCAAGCCTTTAATTTAGAGACGATGATGAACCAAAATCCCAGATCCAGATAGCTCTCCTTTGAAATTTCATGATGCTCAAACCCCAGCCTGGAAGCCTCTTCTTATTTTAACATCCTATTCTGAAATTGGGTGTCTTTCTCTGAGAAGAGTGTGCCCAGGAACTAAAAGGATGAAACACTTCACTGTCTGATTACCACTGCAACTGGCTGGGGTCAAGACTCACAATCAGCACGCAAAGTCATATTGTGGGTGTGATGTCTGAGTCTGACTTTTTAGATCATCTCTTCAGGGTGTTATATATGGGCTTAAAAATGCACTGCTTTAGAGCACACATTTTGTTGTGGGAGACAGATAGAGAAGAGCATGTTTCTTAAAAACCACTGGCATCAGTCCTCTGGGGCTGATGCTGAATCCATCCTGTTTCTACCTAGTAGGAACAGCCAAAACAAAACAGAAATCAGCTCTTTTCTACCACTTAACTAAAAGGCTTGGCTGTCAGGAGAGAGAAATTCCATATTAGCAGGGCAGGAAAAACCACTTCCTCAAATTCCTTACTAAGCCCCAGGTCTGAAAGTACCTGAGCTCTGGCAACCAGTACTCCTCTCTGCTCCAAACAAGTGTTAGTCAGATGCGCTGTGCTAAGCAGCTTCTGCCACTACAGACATTTACTAGTCTTCCCGCCTGCGCTCGGCACAGAACAGCATTTGCAGGTTTGCATTACAACCTGTCAATAGCAGATAATTCTTTCTCTTCTCCTGGATAATACTTTACATCACCATCTGTCCTTTATGCTGGAGGCTGCCTCCCCCCAGCCCTCCCACCCACCAAGCATAACCCCCAATGAACTTTCTCAGATATATTTTAATTTCATTTGCATTGCACAGCAGTGTTCCAACTTCCTCAGCTATCAGATGCCAGGTCCTCAAATATACTAGAGGGTCTCCCACTGAAATCATGCGAAGGCTAGGGATGAGAGGGAGAGAGAGGTATCAAAAGAAAAAAGGAACTCAAACTTGGATGCAACAAGTAGATTTATAAAGCAAAGTCATACGCTTATATCCCCAAACTAGTCTATGATAAATGAAGTATCTGCACACTGCACAGTTGAATGTTTGCTTCAGTCTTTTTTTCTCCAGTACCCCATGATCTGTCAAGCTGTTTGATTCACGTCGTGGTAGTCTGATGTGATGCTAGGTTTTGACTTACATCTGCTTCCCCATCCATCTCCAGCTGTATACATAGCTTCTGAGACATCTCCACTCTTCTCAGGTCGATCTTGCTGGTGGCATGTGACGCACCTACTCTTTCTGGTCTACCCACTACTCTTTCTGGTCTACCACCAGGACTGTATTTTGCTACATTCTGTCTCCCAGATGTATAGATGGGAAAACCTGTCAAATCCCTTTATAACAATGACTTTGTAAAAGGTTTCTTTTTTTTTAAAAGGGAAATAAATAAATAAAATGAAAAAAAAAATTCCATCCCATTTGTGTTTTCTTGTAAGAGTCTTTGCCACAGTGAAGCAAAGGCTGTGATCCCCTTTTTCCCCCCGTTTCTTTGCTTTTGTCTTCAAGCTTTTCCACAAGTCCCACAGCAACGAGATTTGAACTGGGTGAGCTGGCAGAGTTTGAGCTGCTTAACTTTCTCGCAGTATCTTGTGGTGTCTCTGCACTCCACTGGCAAAAGGGAAACAAAAAGGAGAAACGGGGATGAAGCAATGAATGAAAGATTCCCTACCTGAGAACATTTTGCAGGGTGTCCAGGAGGAAACCAAGACAACTTTGTGTCAGAAGGTCTCCCTATGAGCCTGATCATGACTTTGCTGCAAAAACTTAGTGGGGAGTCCATGCAGCCAAAGGCTCAGAGGAGAACAGAGTGGCCAGCCATCGCTTCCAGAGCATGAGGAGAGGTTCCCAGCCTGCTTCAGCACTCCTGTCAGCTTTTCACCTATCCTGATTTTGGGGAAGCTGTCACTCCTCTGGAAAGAGTTTCATCCTCTACCTAGCTGTTCTTAAATTGAAGATGAAGTAGTAAATAAAACTGGAAACTTATTTAAATAGAGTAGACCAAAGGCACTCTGTATACTCAAGCACTTCACAAAGACAGCGCACAGGAAGGCCATCCCAGCCGACCAAGTTTTGTGCTGTGCTTTTCACAAGTACGTTACAGAACATTCAGCCCTGGGTGAAGATGTTAAGACAGTTCAAACTGCTTTTGAACTTCTCTAGGCCTGAGTTTCCTGGTACTATTCAGGCAACTTTTGAGGCCCACAGCCTCCTACTGTTGAGCCCCTGGTTGGAAAACGGTCTGGTACCTCTGCAAGACCTTGGGTATGTTGTAGCCCCAGGGAGTCCCATTTCCTGTACTAAGGCATGAAAGTGGGGGCCTTCAGAGAGTAGTTGTACAGCTCTCTCCGATAGTATCCATGGCAAATAACTCCTCTCTTGACTAGATGCAGGACCCTTTTATGTAGCAGGAAGCAGCAGAGGGGCAGTAAGGGTACCTTGGTACCTTTAAACTCCCTCATTCCTTCCACTTTCATTAAGGGACCCCAGCCTCAGCTCAGTTGTTTGAACCTACTGAGTTATCATTTTCCTGTAGAGAGAGGGACCATCTCGTGTGGCAGTAGCAAAGTGCAGGCTGGTTCTGCTGCTTTTCATGGATCCCAGCTCCTGTGAAGACTGCATGGGAACTGGGTTGCAGTTATCCTTTAAAATCAGCAGTGGGAGCCACGGCAGATGAAGAGACAGTGCACACTTGCGCTGCCTGGTGTTCCCCAAACAGATGCTGATGTAACAGTGCTTGGTTTCAAACAAGGCACATCTGTTCTGTTTTTTTTTTGTTTTGTTTTGTTTTGTTTTCCTCTAATATGCATGACTTGTCTATTTATTTGGCAGGCCCAGTTAATTGCTTGTCACCTGAAAGCAACCTCCACTCCATGAATTCAAGGCTTTAACTTGCTCACTAGGTTTAGACTTATTTAATTTTATCTTCAGCCAACAGTTAGTTTATGTAGTTCATGTATTTTTTCTGTCTCATTAATGGAAAGTTAAGACTGCACCAGCAGTTTTTCATACTGTTAGCTACAGTTTTTCCATTTCTTTACAAAATGGAATTTGTAGAATTCCATTTCTTACAAAATACCACTGCCAACAAACAGCAATGGGCACCATTCCCTTGCAGGAATGCTGAGTTTTAGACTCCGCATTCTGCATGTGATTAGGCTGGTGGCTCCCCAGCCCAGCTGTGAGGCCCAGCACTGCACTTCTCAGAGGCAGTTTTGTGTTGAAGAGCTGCACTCCTTCCCACTTTGCACCATTTCCCTTCCTCCCAGAAACATACTGTTTTCACAAGGTGTGATGTTGCAGCGTTGCCAGTTTGCAGGCCGTGGTCTCCAGGAGCAGTAGTGCTCCAGCACAGGTTTGTTGGTGTGGACATGCACACACTCCACACGCCGGGACTGGAAACCGTAATTCCCACACGTAGCCGTACACACCGTCCATAGGCTGACCCGCCAGTGCACGCCACACACTTCAGTCCAGCAGTTCTGTGTACCTAAAGGCCTGTAAGCAGAAAGGGAAGAGTGGCTCAGGATCACACTGCAGAAGAAACAAAGGCAAACCACTCTTGGGTAACATGGGAGCTTTGGGGACTGTAAGCCTTGCATGTCCAAACATAACTCATTCGGAGCACTGCTTGGGCCAGATCTTCAGTGAGTGGAAGCTGAGGAAACGCCAGTGTACTGAAAGGCAATTTTATAACTGAACTCAAGGACCAGACCCTCAGCTGGTGTAGAATGGTATTGCTCAAGTGGAGTTACATGACCATTTGAACTACTTGAGGAGTTGGCCCAAGTAAGTGCTGAACTAACACATACTGCCCAAAAGTCCACTGAAGTGGCAGCCAGTAAACCTAGCAGAGCTTTGTTACTTTTTTATGGCTTTATGAACAGGGAGAACAAGAACTAACAGTCAGAAACCCTCCTTTTTCCTTCAACACAGTCTCACAGAAGATATGCCAGGCACTCTTTGTTCCTATTTAAATGACACGGAGATAATGAAAATATATGACTGGAAGCCAAAAACATTACCATATTAAGTTTTAGTCATGATTGGGGTATGTGTGTAAGTCTCATGTAAAATAACTATATCTTTATAACATTAACAGTGGAATTCATCTGCAGGAAAGTGAAAATTATGCAGTTTCTTTTTTTTTTTTAATCAGAGTTTGTGTTTAAATGAGAGGTAATGAGACTACCGGCCTTTCAGTCAGTGTTTGACATCACCAGAAGAATTTCCAGTTGTCAGTCAGTGTATTTTTATTCTGGGGCTCATATGAATGAACACTGAAAATCTGAGCCTGTTCGGTGAGATTTTACCATGTAACTACCCTGGCTGCAGCATGGCTTCTTTGTTACACAGAGAAAACCCAAAAGATACCAAGTCACTTTGTTCATTCAAAATTTCCAAAGCATAGTGGTTTTCAGTCATAAGGGATATATCTCCTACCTTGGTAAGGCACTGCATTGATCAGAAGACACAGAAGTCCCGTCTTTGGTCTGGCAAAATATCTGTCTGTGTTGCACAGCCTGTCGAGGTCCAATGCAAGGCCCATTACACTATGAACAGAGGAAGAAAGAGGAGGAAGAAGGAAAGGCATATTTCTGTTTTCTGAGGTGGTTGATGAAGCAAAGAACACATCGTTGTGCAGTAATCATGAAGCTTTCAAGCACTTTCTGCAGCTCTGTAGGCTTAGCACACAGTCATCTTGTGTCCTTCCTGACCCTCCTCCAGCAGTATTGAAACTGCATTTTTGTAACAACTCTGCAGATTCATTCCCCTTTCCTCTTCAATAGCTCAATCTCAAATACATCTGTCAGGGCAAATAAAATGCTCTGAAGTCATTAGCCAAGAGCCTATGATCCGTACAGGAAATCTCAATATTTTCCTTTTACTGTGCATTTTGCAGCTTGCACTATCATGATTTATGAGCAAATAGTTGATAACCACGAATATACTGAACCAAGAACATAGTCTCCTCAAATTAATAATTTAAAAGCATTGCAGGACAATACACGAAAGCAGCAAGCATGACGAACATAGCAGATCTACAAGCTAGTTCCAACACTAAAGTTATCCTAAGCTATGCAAGCACATCAGTTACGTACTTGCTGTTTAACTCTTTCTGCGCCTCTCCTTAGATTAAATCGTAATTAGCTGAAGGTATGAAGCATGTGATTGTGTGGGGTTTTTTTAATTAAATTAACCAGTAGGAAACTAGTTTCTAAGTATGTGGAAATTATATTCAAGAACAGAATGAGGGTTTGAAGAAAGAGACCTTAAAGCGAGGACAGAGGATGCCCTAGCAGTGCAGAGCCGCTGAGCTGTCCCTCCTCCCCGGCCCACCAGGAGCGCTACTTCATGCTGCTGTGCCCTCCTCACACAGTACTCACTTCCTGCTGCTATTTCTTCCCTCCCTGACAACTGGAAGAGAGAAGCAAACAATTGACAGTTTTCCAGTTGCTCCCAGTCAGCCCTGGGCCAGACTCCTCATGGAGCAAGGTATATGGAAATGGCCTTTACTGAAGTACGGGGAGCCCTTCTGCAATACCTATACAGGTTAGAAATCCTCATCACCAACAAGCCCAAGTGAATATTCTTGAAGCACTATGTGATTACAAGGAAACCCAAACTTTGGAGGTCAAATAGTCCACAAAATTCACCTTACAATTAAATGAAAGAAGATGGAAGGGAAGGCAAAGGAATCTGGAGGAGTGAGAAGAGGTCATCTTTTTATTTTCTTTGTCCTCTAGAAAGTTAATCGCTAAGCCTAGGGCACTGGAGACCTCAGTGCACCCTATGCTACTACTTAACATGCCACTGACACCCAGTCAGCAATCTGTTCCTAACTATAATTTAATAATGGTCTTGTGACTTGGAGACTGAGCTGTATAGGCTCACATGAAACCTGAATTTTTTTTTAAGCCAGGTAGAAGAAATATTAGATTATTATAATTCACAAAGGTCAGGTATAACAAATGAATTCAGACCTCTTTGATCATCTCAGCTAGGTAAGCTGTCATGGGGAACAATATAACCCACAAGGATCTACAAAGCAAGGGTGAGGTTTTTCGCAAGAATAAACCAGTCCTTACCTGGAATTCCAAAGGGAGTGAAAATAGGGCAGTATGCCTCTTTCATACAAAAGATTTGTTCCACAAGATTTGTCTTGGATTGTACTAAGCCTAACTTCCTTATCTTTACCTGACTCATTATTCTGATTATATCTTTGACTACTCTGGATTCGTAAACTGTTCTTTCTTCTTCCCTTTGACAACGTTAGTTCCACCAAAAATGATGTTAAAGTAATATTAGTTATCTGGCTTTAAAATCTAGCAAAATTAGCTTCCGTGGTTTTAACCCTGCCTCTCATTTACCCTTCTGGAGTGCTTATATGTCTGTGTAAATCACCACAATGAGTATCACTAGGCTTAAATGCATAGGCTTCTACACCTAAACTGTAGCAAACTCATCATATGGGTCAGCCGTATGGGAGTGGAGACAAAAAGGAGGAAGGCACATAGCAACGACTGAGCCCATGTTATAATTCACTATGTATAGGCAAGTGTCCTTTCAGGAAATCTCACAGTGCACAGAGAGATAAAGACAGAACAAACTCTTCACTGGATTCCCTGTGATAAGAAGGTTTAACTCCAAATACTTTGGAACATTTGCTATTTATGGAGGGAAACTTTTAAAGATCTGGTCACTGGATGAAGCTGTAAGAAGAGAATTTCAAGATCTGCAAATCAGCATGAGGTAATCTTAAAATGACTTTAGCCCTCCATTCTGTATATGATCATGAAGCAAATCAAGAAAGCTCCTGCTTTAAGAGGTTCTCAGGCAACACTGGAAACTTTGTAAAACTGGGCTGTTGCAGTATCTATCACAATCAGCAGTCCAACCAAAACTGAAACAGACTAACCAGGCAGTAAAGAGCAACTCTTGACTTAGAGAAGACTATTTCCCATACACGTCACCTGCTACCATAACGAGGAACTGAAAGGACAAACTTTTCCAGTGAGGACAATACACTGGTCTGCAGTGAAGGTCCTGTTTACAGAAAGTTCTGCTAGGGAATACAGAGGAAGGTCAGTACCCAAGGATGCAGTGCATCAAATATGAGGTTCACAGAGCTGAGGAAACTAACTGCCTCCTCAAAAGCCTGCAAACCATAATGTAAATATACCAGGGTGCAAAATTATTCCTCTCATCTTCCGTCCCGCACTACAAGGCTCCCATGTCCTTGGACTGCCTGCTTGCTCCTTACCTGGCCCCAAGAGGAGGCCACCCACTCAACACAGGGCTGCCTGTTACAGTTTTGAGTATCCACAGGGTGTTTGGATCCCTGGGCACAAGCTTCATTCGACATTGGGACAGAATTGCCTTTAGCTGTCAGTCGCTGACACGTCACTCGCCGAGTCTGGATGCCTCCACCGCAACTCCGTGTGCAAGAAGACCATGACGTAACCATCCACCTATTGGAGAAAGGCAAAAAGGCCAGACAGCAGACACATGCTATAAATGCAACAGCTGCAGGAACATCAGTGTCAATACAACTTTACAGATTGGACTGAAGAAAGCCAGCCATGGCTTGCTTCATTTTGGACACAGTCCTGGAAGGTGCTGAGTGTCTCTTCCTCTTATAATAGTCACTAAAAACTGACCTCAGGGGGTGAAAGTTGAGAAAAAAACACCTTTTTCATTTAAGTGTCTCTTTCAAGTTTCTTTGGGCCCAGAATTCACTTTTTTGTTTTTTTGTTTTTGTAAGACTGTTTTTAAAAGCTCAGTAACTATTTCTAGCTCAGATACTGGGGTGGGACATGGCTGTTTTTATACCACTGTGCCATAGAAACCTTGGCCACAGGCTACAATCACAACCCCGGCAATGACCATCTTGTTTCTACTCCTTTACAGGCTATCCTTTCCCTGTAAAGAAATTGGAGTAGCCCGTAAGCCACTGTGAACCTGCTGCTGAGAGAAGAGCCAGGAGCCTGCTAGCTCGTGCTGGTCCCGGGCCTTCTCTGTTATCTCCTTGACAGCTGGGAGAATCTAGAAAAGCCTGAAGGCTGCTTAGGGGTGGGGGTTGGTGTGTCATTACCCCAGGGACAAAGGACACCTTTTTTCTTTCCTCTTAAACTGCACTATGCATTCAATAGTTGAGGCTGAGACGTGGGGCCAATATATTGAAAAAAACAGTCTAACAAGTTAAAAAGCTGTAACAACACAAAATGATAGCCCAGGTTCCTAACTTTACCATGAGTGACAACATACTTTGTATGTTTTAGGATCATTAGCCTCCTTCCCTTGGACAATACAAAAGAGCTAGGCTCTCTGGCTACCATACACTACCGCTTACTGCTGGCTGTTAAGCTTCTCTGTGAAAGAAGCAAATCCCTTGAGAACTACCATCTGTGGTTATATTCATGCACACAGGCTATCAGCAATGGTGAGGCCCGACAGTGCAAAATTTAGGTCTGCACATGGGAAGAAGCCAATATGCTCATGGCAGAAAACCCTTTCCAACGCAGTGGTGAAACATTCATATAATATCTTGAGAAAGAGATATTGGTAGGAGCAGGAGGGAGGCAAGTTATTACTAGTTTCCTAAAGAGATTTATGGTCAAGTCAGCAGTTTACTTCTTTGTAGTGTCAGGATACTCTGCAGGATTTGTGTGTTACTGGGAGGAAAATAATGCTTCTCATGTCCCAGGCCAGTAACAGTGTTTATCATTACAGTACGTAATAGACAATAGGTATTCTCTAGCCTTATGGAGAGGCAGCCATTATTCATGGAGTTCTGCAGATTAACTCCCGTGGTCACAGGAACGTGAGTATAAACAAACATACTCCTGACATGAAAAATAAAAATAATACTACTTTTTTCATGCAGTTTGATGAGGTTGAATCTGAAGCTTCTCTGGCCCTTGCCCAGCTCTGCTCTGTATTTCAATCAAGTTTTATTTCCAAGCATACATCTCAGCAGTTCCTCAGCAGCTGAGAGGCGCGTGTGGGTCGCATTACAGTTCAGGAAAGAGATAAAAAGACATAAATTCTTCCCATGGAAATACTGCCATCTCCAAGTCAAATTATAGTTAATGAAACTCTTTCGGATTCCTCCTTAATGAGTCAGCTGGCAACTCAGAAAATACATGCCTGAAAAGAGGGACAGGGGCATATTGTTGAAGGTAATTAAACAGAACCTTGCCTTATACCCAAGACACAGCCAGAGTGGTAAATCTGGCTGCTTTATTCTCATCAGACGGCTTAGCACCACTACACACATCAGATTAGACCCCGTTTTTTAATATGGGGATACAAGTCCAGAACTGCTCCGCTTTAATGAGAGAAGTTGCACTAAATTTCAAATGAGATCCTGACCATTTTCCAAGCGCCTGTATACCGAAGCACAGTATATACACAAAGGAAATAAGCTGCAGGGGGAGAAAGGAGTAAAAAAACAGAATATGGAAAGCGTTTATACCCATCTCAGCTGAGTCATCACTGAATTGCAGAACTATGGCATTTTTGACGTGCACAGGGTACAGCAGAACACTGACTCTCTGTGTAGATGCTTAGGTTAAAGTCTCTTTTGCAACAAAGAGTGGCAAAGGAGAAAAGTGTTGTGTCTGAGGAGGAAGGAAAAGAGGAAGGGAAAGATCTTAGTGCAGTCAGAAGTTTTACAGGCTATTCCGGCTCCAGGGTATTTAACTGAAAGACAGCTTTAACTTATGACAGCAGGTTACAGTCCCTAGGAAACTACAAGCTAGCAAATTCTAGAAGGAGGCAAAGCTCAGTTTGACCTCTTTCATGCACACTGGATCCAGGAGGTGTGTAGCTGCAGCTATAATCTGGCCCATTTGGCCACTACAGGAGCTCAAAAAAATGGAAGCTATCTGCTAAATCTAGCTTCTGTCTGCTATGCTGTTTGGGATAAAATGGTATGAAGCCTTGCGGAACACAAGAAAGATACGACCCTGCCGTTCTTGGGTGAGGCAACTCCCATGTATACAGAGCTCACAACCAGATACTAGGTTTATGTGCTACACAGAAAAAGGCTGGGATGTACCTGAGCAAGCTCAGCCCATACAAGTGCTTGGGGCTATGCACGGAGGTGATGAGAGAGCTGGCTGATATTCTTGCAGTTGCTGTCTATCGTCTCTGAAAGGTTGTAGTGATTGGGGAGAAATGATAGAATCTGGGGACAAGTTTTGCTTTGAGTCAAGATGTTGCTCTATGTTTTTACAATGAGTAGTATCAATTGGCATGGAAAACGCTTTGCAATATTGATGCGCTATATTTTTTTGTACTGTATTTTGACTAAATGTGAAACAAAGCTGGAAGCCAATATTCAAATGCACTTAACCTGGCAGAAAGATTTTGGCTCTCGGTTCAGATTTGGCACTTGTAGCTTAGATAGACCCATCTCTAACTTTGACTTACTTCATTATTTTGATCTCTTAAAAAGGAGCCATCACATTTTTAAGAACACATAGAGCTCAAAGGAAAACGGTGTTAGTTTAAGACATGTCTATTCTGAATGCGTTGACAGAGGCTCTATGGTGGTCAGCCATTTGCCTTATCTTTCCTAACCAGAGTCAGCTACTGGGACTGACTTGTTTCCTAGGGCCTGCGTTATTACAATTGAGGCTGAATTTCTTCTGCTCACTTTGCAATCCTCTCTACTGTATGTGGAGAATATTTAGGTTACACCAAGAAAATACATAGATATCAGGTCAGTGTTTGTTCTCTAGTGAGGAACTGACCTATAAGGGCCTGAAGGTCTGCTAATACTTAATAGGAGGAGGAGGACATCAATTTCTTCTGCTTAACAATTTCAACTTACAGTAACACAGGAAGGCTCATCCATTAGGATGAAATCTTTCCTTTCACAAAATAAATCAGTAAGGAGAAGGCACTGCCCCTCCCCCAGGTAATTTAAACTTATGGTGAAGACAAGAATAGTTTAAACAATCAGTGAGGTTTGAAATACAGACAAAAACTGAGTTTCCTACTTAACCACAAAAGTCAAAAAGCAGTCTTGGCTACTAACACTGTCTGGGAAGAATTACAAAATACTATTAGGTTGTGAAATTTGCTAACAAAGAGTGGGCAATACGTCCTCTGTGCTCCTAATTACTGAAGGAGTAGACACAGTCTCTGCCATGCATTGTCCATGTTTTCTACAAATCTCAATACAAACTCCTGTCTCTCTAGGTTAAGCACCCTCCCTTTTAGTCATGATTTTTTCCCAGACAGACATTAGAGAGCCTATGATAGCATGCTGTCCAGTGCAAACAACTACTGAGGGTATCTTAAAGGCACGTATGACATCCATCTTAACGTTAAATGGACGAACCGTGAAGGGCAGTCTCTCCTGTTACAGGCGATGGGCTGCAGGGCTGGCTTGGGCTTCCCTTTGCAGTGGGATATGTTGACTTCAGTCCCATCCAGTAAGCACCTCAGCTGGGGCAGCTGAACGCCTTTGTGGCCACAAGAAGCTGAACAAGCCATCAGCTTGTCCACTGACCATCGGTATTCTGTCAAAAAGCACAGGAGAACCGTGTTAGCACTTAAGAACAGCCAGCAGGAGACCCTTATAAAAAAAAAAGGGTGATGGATGGTCTCCATGATTAAAATTACACTAAAATATGTGTACTCAATGCCTCAGTGAAGGGGAGCTATTTATGCCTAAAAAGCCATGAAGAATGCAACAACAAAGGAATAAAATTCCAGCTCACTTAAGCCATTGACTGTCTTTGGTATAACAAACCCCATTCTTTGGAGCTAAGAAGTATCAGAGTAGGAAGTAAATGATAGGGTAAAGCTGTAAAGGCATTAGCCAGTGATGCAGGGCATTGCAAATCCCTGCATTTATGCAAATGTATTTGGGTAATTCATTAAGCCTGTGTGTCTGTAGCTACGTGTAAAAAGGAGTTAGCAGCTTCAGAGGGCCATTGTGAGCGTGCGGCTGCCAGATACCATGGCAATGGCAAGCATGTAAGCTCCTGAGATGCTGCCAAAACAGCCTTACAGTTGGTTATGTATGGTATGTGTGGTACACATATTTCTCATGGAAAAGCCTAGTAGCATTTATATGAAAATAACCACCTTTTCAAGGACTTCTGGAAAAATATAAGAAAGGGAATTTTATAGTGGCACAGAAAAGTAGAGCCTGTATTTAATATTCCTATATTAAAAGTAATATAGGAACGATTTCACAGGGTATTAAGGTCTTCATACTTTTTTTCTTAAAAAGTATCTGTAGTGCCCAGGGATTTCTTCCTATCAGTCCGATATTTCCGTTTGGCCTATGAAAAAAAGGCATTATTAATCCTTGTGGGGGTACATCTTTTCATCCCTTTGCAAAGGTCACCAATTCCAGTATTACAGGCCTCTAGATAGTTCAGAAGATATGCTCGGAGTGCTAGACCTTTAATAGATATCAAACTAGTATGGTCTGCTTAAGTCCCCAGAACTCCAATGATTCATTCCAGTTGATTTTTTTCAAGTGCTTCCACATCATGAAAACGCAGTGCAGTGTTTCAAAGGACGTCAATACAGACTTCAGTAAACATTTCACATTCCTTATTGCAAACCTACTTCTAAAACTGGCAAAATTTATTTTAAAACCAAAGTTTAAACTGAAATAGAAAAAAGCAGTGGGTAAAGATGTGGGCTAAAAGGGTGAGACAATTCCATCTTGTCTTTCCGTTTTGTTTGATAATAGCTTTGAGGCTGTGGTGGAGCTGAAGACACAAGTCCAGCACATGGCCAAGCACTTAAAAACACCCACCCTACTTTCACATGGTCTGTGAAGCGGTTTCCTGAATCTTGTATTCAGACCCTGCCATCAAGATTGGATCAGCCTGAAATAATTGAACGAAGGAAAAATTTGACAGATAAGAGCATTTCATTTTAACATCCTAAAGGCATACTTTCTACTTCTAAGTCATATATTTAAAAATAAAACGTATCACACTTTCACAGCAGTAGTGCATGGGACTCATTCTCAAGCGTTCGTATTTCTAAAGGGGCGTGATTTACTGGAGATGTGGTTAGCTGTAGTTACTAGTGTTACCTTACATCAGTGTGTTTCTCACCTGGTATATCATATAGATCATCCAGCCTCAAGGTGAACAGGGGAGTTGCAACACATTTAAAATTTTAGTGGAAAATTTAAAGAAAAGTTAAATCTCCGTCTGCTCGACCCCCCACAATTACAGCAATGAAAGCTGCATGTTCTGTGCCAACCTATCTTCACTGCTCTCTTCTGTGGCTTTATTGTTGGTACGTACATTCAGTTTGCTTCTAAGATAAATGTAACAAAGTGATGACATTTTTCCAAAGGACGGCTTTCCAAGCCATAAGAGAGTATGAAATACCGATTTAAGAAGATTAAGGGGAAGGGCTTCTGATTTTGGAGGTTTTGTTCTATGACACATTTGTCTTCAGTTTCTCGCTGGCTCAGTATACAGAGGTGCAGCTTGATTCAGTAAGTGCCATGCACTCAGCAGACCAGAAATATCAGGTGTCACTCTCAGAAAGTAAAAATCAAGATACTCCCATTTAAATACTCAGTAGGCTTGCAAAACTATCTGGGGCAGTAAAACATCATAACATCTATTTGCTACTGTGCATCACAGTCATAGCTTTAGAGCTGAGAAATCTGGAATGATAAAGGCAATGCAAGGAAGGCCATGCCAAGAGCTTCAAAGGACAGCAGGACTAAAACCAGAGAGTTACCTTGTATTGCCAGGGATGTTCTCTGTGTGAGTGAGCCAGCCTCATTCTCAGCAAGGCAGCTGAATTCACCTTGCAGAGCATCACTAACGTTGAGTATCTGAAGAATGTGACCTGCTGCCAGGATGCGATGTTTCAGATTGAGAGGCTCACCAGCAAAAAGCCAGGTGATGTTTGGAGTGGGATGACCATCCACAGCACAACCTCAAAAATACAGACATGAAATAAAGCTGTTGAGTGTGGGCAAAGTTAGATTATTTGAAATGATCAAAATTATGAAAAAAATTGCTTCCATCCAATCTTACCCTCATTTCTTCATAATTAAAAATATAAATACTGTGGTAGTGAGTACCTTCCCATCAGCTGAGAGAAAAACCCCAAAGTCACAATATCAGCCACATAAAAATCTCAGATCAAATCAGAAATATTATGTTTTCCATGGCTCCCATTAACTTAGGTCGTTCTCATCTCAGTATTGAGGAAGATAGGACAGGAAAGTTACATACCTAGCATAAGGTATAAGCATGTTTGAATGAGAGGCACAAACCTCCTACATAAACCACAGAGCTGCCTTCCTCTCTTGTTTTTTATGACAATATGTCAAAGTTCAGAAGTGACTTTTACACAAAAAGTGTACTGAAAAAACAAACAGATCATAAAATTAAGCCTTCAAAGGTTACAAAATGCCAGTAGTCCAGTAGTAAGACAACATACGCATGTCTTACCTTTCTCAGGCACACTTGCTCTTAAATGAATTTGTGTGCATGTGCAACTCTTTTAAAATAAAAACCCCAAACTGAAAAAAGTACCATCCTGAAGCATCACTTGGACATGCCTATGGATGATCAGCAAGGCTGATGAGGTTTAGGCTCACAGTTCAGCCTTTGCCCTTTGGACTAATAGAGTAAGAGTATCCATAAGTTACTATTTTCAGGGGTCCTCGCACCAGCTACACACTTTGCCAGTTTCAGTGATAAGCTGCTTACAAAAGCAGATTTGTGAGACTTGCCTGTCAAGGGAAAGGCAGGTAAATTACTTTATATAACTTATTTCCTTGTGAAAATGACAGAATTAGGGCAATTTCCACAGTGCAGCCAAGCTACACCACTTGCAGGGGCAGGGAGCCAGACAAGCCACGCTCACAGGATCCCATGTATCCCTTGGACTGCTTGTGGCCTAGGCAGGTCCTGCACCTCCATACATCACTGGTATATAAAAGGTCTGGCTAAGTTTCTCTGAGTGCAATCTGTACTGTTTGTTACTTCATCATACTGTAGATTTTTGCTTTTATTTTTAAATTAATATGTATCTGTAATGAATAGCATTCTTGTATACAGTACTTTACACACAAAGCCCTTCCCAAAGAAGCTTGCTATGTAAAGAAACATAACACAGGCACATAAGTATTCCTACTAGCACTGTTCAAACAGAAAGGGATAAAAACAAGAAAGGGAATAGGTTTACAATTCTAAAACACAGAAGACTTATCTAAGGGAATCTAAGGCATTTGGGGAATAATTTAGACAGATTCCATCAGCTGATACTATTTCATAGTCAGCTCCACGACATTTGATTATTATTTATTGCTCTCTTTGACAAATAAAGATGTGATTATGGTGCCTTTGTACCCGTTACACAATGGACTGACACTGTGATGCAACATTTGTCACTGTTCTTCCTTTTAATATAATCCTCTCAAAACTCAGTGCAACGATGTTTCAGAAGTGCCTCATTTGAGCATAACTTTTGTAAGTCAACCATACGCTACAACCCTAAGAATGAAATTAACCTTTGAGTCCATTCAGAAGTTATTTCTCACGACTGCAAATGATTCTTCTGTAACTTCTTTGTTCTGACCACTAAAAACAGTATAATCAGTCTAGGGGCGAGATTAGGTGTTACTATGGTGGACACCTATGACATGGAAGCTCTTTCACAAGTAAATTGATCACAATTCTTCATTTGAATGTTTAAGATGTGTTTTGAAATCCTCTTAACTGAAAGACGATGAGTCTACAAATGTGCCTGTCAAGCTAAATTAAAAGCAAAAACCAGGAATAATTTAGTAGAAAAAAAGAATACCTCACAATGTAGCCTTATTTGTAGCAAAGAAGGAAATCAACTCTATATATTTGCTTCACTATCAAGTGCTGCTTTTCCAGGATGCTACAGATTTTGGTCAAATTCTCACCCAATGTAAATAGCTCCACTGATCTCAAAGAAAACATGGTGATTTATGCTAGCTGATAAATAAACAAACAAACACATAAATAAATTACTACCATATATTTTGGAAATATGTCACATATGGACTAGTCAAAGTCTTATGATTTCATATAATACTACGTTCCTACTCATGCTCTTCCCAAATAGGTTCCACTTCAGAATTTTTTCCTCTTACCGTCTCTTAGCGTTGAAGGCGTTCTAAGCTACTTTTTCAACAGATGTGGACGTTGGGTGTTTTTAAGAGTTGTTGCAGTAACCATTTCTGTTACCTTCTGCTATTTAGCAGAGGAGGCTGTGTTAGACATTCACTTGTTATGACTGTTCTGCCTAACCTAGACTGATGGTACTCAAAAAAATATTTGGGGTTTTCCAGTCAGCAACCTCCTACAAAGCCAAGCCACCACTGCTATAACGCAGCACGTACTATGTAGTCTTGCAAAACCTTGCAGTGAACTGCATGTACTGCTGTCTTTCACTTTCTGATATTTCACCATACAGTGTACTAACTGCAACAAGTGATTCAAACACATGCGTGGCATTATTACTTGAAGGACCTTGACTGACACTGATGACAGAGTTAAATGCATGCTGCACAAACAGATAAGAAACTATGACTTCAAACCTAACCAACAACTCAGTCAGAAATGCTCAGGAGTATAATTAAAATCCACACACACAATTCTACTAGATGTTTCAATTCACAGAAAGAAGAGGTATTTTGTGTTTGTGTTTATTTTTCATTCTCACACTCGGAGGCAAGAGACGTTACAACCATGATCTTCTTTTTTGCCAAAAGTTCTATTCTTCAAACTGTATGTGTTTTTATCACAGGTACTTTCAGTGACATCCTGCTTCAGAATGTCATTTTACTTTTGTGGGCAAAGTTGCTACGTGGAGCAATCGCCCAGCATCATAGCTGAGAGGAATGTGCTATACAACTATGTCAGTCCATCCGGAGAGATCCTTCACTGACATAAACTGAGGAAGCATCATTGCTACAGGACTCTATTTAAATACACATTTTATACTTAAAAATTTATCTAGACCTTACTGAGGCGTATATCACTGCAAGAAGAAAACTACCATTTTCACTAATCTGCCCTGAAGGCTGAACTGGCTGATTTCCAAAACATAGTCTAGATCAAACCCTGAAGCAGACTCCAGATGCACATCACACTGTTCGCAAAGTTTCAGGGACAAAAGAGGGATATATCAGTGCAGACTCGGGCTACCCTCCTTTTGGCTTTGATTGCTCCTCTAAACTAACACCAGCAATTCAGCTGCTATAGTATTTCTTGTCTGGCTTTTGCTGCTTGTCATACCTGTATAACAGGATGATCCCACTAGGTTCAATCTCACTATTTCTGTAGCATAATATGCTGCTTTGCACACAGAAACTGAAGCTTTCTCGCCCACACAAAACAGAAGAAATTACACAACATGGAAAAAGCCATCTCTGACTTTTGGTAAGTTCCAGCCACTGGAGAGATATATGCAGGCGCAGTGGAAACCCCCTCGGCAGCTAGTGAGTGCAAATACTTGGCCATTCACAGGCACAGAAGCTACACTGGGCTTTGCACTGTCCCCGTCACTGACAAACCCTCCTAAGATCCAAAGTAGAAAGGCTGTAGGCTGGATAAAAATGCTTGTCAGGATTGGTTCACCCTGCATAAAAAATACACTGTTGAGAGGAAGGACTCCCATGTATAAGGTGAGCGACAGACACATTAGAATGTGCAGTCACAATTACAATGTTTCACTGGCAAAGAGCTAGGGAGCACAGCTAATTTAAAAAAAAAAAAAAAAGAGGAGAATGAGCAAATGCATGTTGCTCACAGTGCTCCCCCTTTTTCCTTTGTTCCCCTTTTATTTATGTGGCTAAAGAACCTTTACCATTTGTTTTAATTTCCTTGGCAAGGTCTAATAACGTTTCATTCTTGGCAGTTTTCACCCTAGCTCTATGCTTCCTGACCACAAAAATATTTCTTTGCTTTCCTTGCTGAGAGAGGGAGAGACAATCACTCCTCTTCCCCATTGCGGAAAGCTCCCTATTTATTCCTGTTATGCTTCATTTTGTATTATTCCTTTTGTTCTTTCTCAGTATTGATGTATTTTTTCTCACTCTTGTTCTTCAAAACCACTCATCCAGTCTCCAAAAGACAGTCATTCTCAAGTAAATGAATGACATGAAAGATTTCAGTGTAACTTGTTTAAGGGTGCCAAAGCTAAAAGCAATAAAAAACAAAGCAATATAACAGGAAATGGATAAAGTTAAGAATAAGTGGCTATTGACTTTTGCCTATAGCATTCTAATTTACATATAGTCTGTGGGTCTTCTAAGGGACTTCCATAGGTCAGCATATAGCCATGACAACTGAGAAACACATGCTGTGTTTACAAACAGTTTTACTCTTTCTATTTGCAAAACAGACTGCACAAGATAAATGAAGAAAGCAGAAAGGTCAGTTTGATGTTAAACACAAAGGCACTGAAACTGACTTCGGTGTGCAGCTTATCCTAGTTTGTGCCCTTTTTTCTTTTAAATGTTTTAATGCCAAACAAATCAATAGTCCTCCCATCGCTATTTTGCTTGCCATATATATTATTTCTTCTTGTAAAGTATATATGTAAATATTAACAAAGGAACAGCCAGTAATCAGTAATATTAGGGAAAACAGAATCAGCCCCCTCTTCCCTTGGTATCTGTTACTAGTGAGTAATTACTACTTTTTTTCCGCATTTAACAATAAAACCTTACTGACACCGGAGACTCACATGTAATGGATATTCCTTATTTGTGTATGCAGAAGGAGCATCAACCACATTTCACAAGTGACATTTCCTACACGTTTCCCAGATGTATAGATACCTAAGGTATGGGATAACGTATTATGCATATTAAATAAGAAGCAAAGCACAATGAAAAAGTATGACGTTCCAAAAACAACCCCGTCTCATCTCTCAGGAATAATTTTAAT